GTGCTGGGATTATAGGTGTGAGCCACCACATCCGTCCCCTTTTTTTTTTTTTTTTTTTTTTTTGAGACGGAGTCTCATCCTGTCACTGAGGCTGGAGTGCAGCGGCACAGTCTCAGCTCACTGCAGTCTCCTTTTTCCAGGTTCAAGCTATTTTCCTGCCTCAGCCTCCCAAGTAGCTGGGATTATAGCTGCCTGCCACCATGCCTGGCTAATTTTTGCATTTTTAGTAAAGACGGGGTTTCGCCATGTTGACCAGGCCAGTCTCGAACTCCTGACCTCAAGTGATCCACCCGCCTCAGCCTCCCAAAGTCCTGGGATTACAGGCGTGAGCCATTGTGCCCAGCCTGATACTTTCTTTTTAAGCAGCTTAAAACAACATTTATTTGTTAGTATTAAGATTTGTTATCTGCCAGTGTCTGTGTGTCAGGAATCTGGGCATGGCTTACTTGGGTTTTCTGGTTCTAGAACTTCTATAAGGTGTTGGTGGGTGCTGCAGTCGGCTTCCAGGAAGAATCCATGTTCATGCTCACTTGTGTGGTTGTTGGCAGGAGTCCTCTCCTGGGCCTTTGAGATAAAGGCCTTACTGGAAGCCACACTGAATTTCTTGCCATGTGCTTCTCTCCTTAGGACAACTTGCTGCTTATAAATACGTAAAAAGAGAGCAAGAGAGTATGAGGTAAAAGTCTTTTGAAACCTAATTTCAGAAGTGGCATCCCGTCATTTTTGCTGTATTCTGTTCAGTAGAAGCGAGTTTCTGGGTGCAACCTATACTTTAGGAGAGAGAATTACACTTGGACAAGAATTCTAGGAGATGGGGATCTTTTGGCACCACCTTAGAAGTTCGCCTACCACACTTCAAGAGAAACTGCATGATCTGGGTAGTGCATATGCTTAACTTTACTAGATAGTTCCAGAGAACTCTCTGTTAGTGTATGACAGTTACCATTGTTACAATGTATTGGCAACACTTGCTATTTTGACTAGAGATCTTTTTGAATGTAATAATTTAATGCTATAAATTTCGCTCTAAGCATGGCTTTAGCGCTATCTCAGAATTTTTATCCTGTTTTCATTTTTATTCAGAAAAAATTAAATTCCAAGAAAGTAGAAGGAAGGAAATAATGAGTCCCTTAGACCAAATGTACAAATTCCTTGAACGACAATGAGCTATCAGATGACCACAACTGACATGAGTTGGAAAGTGTTCCCTTCTGTTTGAAATAATTTGTGTAAGATTGGTATTATTTCTTTTAAAACTCTGGTAGAATTCATCAGTGTAGCTATTTGTGAGTGTATTTTCCTTGTTGGAAGGTTTTAAATTATGAATTAAGTTTTTAAAACCATGTCATTCAGATGTTCTGTTTCGTTCTTTTTTAAAATGGTTTTTTATTTTTATTTTTTGAGACAGGATTTCACTCTGTCACCTAGGCTGAAGTGCAGTGGCGCTATCATAGCTCACTACAGCCTTGAACTGCTGGGCTCGAGTGATCCTCCTTCTCAGCCTCCTGAGTACAAATTTTCTATTTCTTTAGCTGCATCCCACAACTTTTGATATGGCTGGCTTTAATTTTCACTTAGTTCAAAATATTTTCTGTTCTTGCTTGGGACTTCCCTTTTGGCCCATGATTTTTTATAAATGCGTTTAATTTATAAATATTTTGGTTTTCCAGATATCTTTTTGTTACTGGTTTTTTTAAAACTTACTACTTTGATCAGACAGGATGCTTTGTATCATTTCGATCCCTTTATGTATCCATAGGTTGGTTTTATGTCAAACATATGGTTTGTCTTTATGAATGTTCTGTGTATGCTTGAATGTGTAGTCTAATTTTGTTGGGTGTAGTGCCTTTTAAATGTCAGTGGGACAGACTGGTTGAAATTCAGGTTTTTTGTGTCTTTACTGATTTTTTATTCTGCTAATTAAAGAGAAGAGAAATACTGAAATTTCTGTCTGCAATTGTGGATTTGTGTATTTCTTTTTGTAGTTCTGTGTTTCTTTTTTGTTTGTTTGTTTTGTTTTGTTTTTTTGTTTCGTTTGAGACAGGGTCTGGCTGTCTAGCCCAGGCTCTTCTAGGCTTAAGGGATCCTCCTGCCTCCGCCTCCTAAGTAGCTGGGACTGAAAGAGTACACACCACTGTGTCTGGTTAATTTTTAAATTTTTGTAGAGACGAGTCCTTGTTTTGTTGTGCAGGCTGATCTCAAACTTCTGGGCTCAAGCAAACCTCCCACTTTGACCTCCCAAAGTGCTGGGATTACAGGCATGAGCTACTGCACCCAGCTGTTCTGTCAGTTTTTGCTTTATGTATTTTGAAGTTCAGTTACTAGATGTATTCACATTTAGGAGTGTTATATCTTGGTGAGTTGACCTTTTGTCTCTTTGCGAAATACACATTTTTATCTCTAGTAATAGTTCCTATCCTGAAGTGTACTTTGTCTAATGTTAATGTAGCCATTCCAGCTTTCTTATGGTTGGTATTTGTGTGGTATACATTTCTCCCTGTGTATCCTTGGGAGATTGGTCCAGAACTTCCCAAGGACCCCGAAATCTGTGGATGCTGAAGTCTTTTATATAAAATAGAGCAGTATTTGCATATAACTTACAGCATATCCTGCTGTATACTTTAAATCCTTCTGGGTTACTTAAAATGCCTAATACAGTGCTTACACATAACCTCATTTGCGTGGATTCATTCAAGGTAGTATTTGGCACATGGCAAACTCAACTTTTGCTTTTTGTAACTTTGTGGAACTTTTTTTTCCCCAAATGTTTTCCGTCTTCATTTGGTTCATCCATGGATGAAGAAGTAATCGATACGGAGAACTGGCTGTATTTTTTTCCTATTCCTTTTCTTTTAATCTATCTGTATTTAAGATAGGTTAAAGAACAGATGAGCCAAAGACAACAAATGGCAAGATGGTGGACTTAAATCTACTTAAGAGGATTAACTTCCAAAAGACTCTGGCTTCGCTTTCTCTTTGCTCACTCTGATAAAAGTGAGCTGCCATATTATAAGTTATCTTATGGACAGGCCCATGTACAAACTGAATCCTGCCAGCAACCACTTGAGTAAATGTGGAAGTGGATCCTTCATTTGTTCTGTTAAGCCTTGAGATGATTCCGGTCTGTGACAGACTCTCCAGAGGACCTAGCTAAGCCATGTCCAGGTTTCTGACTTCCACAAATTAAGTTACAAAATACTTGTTTTTTCCAGCAGCTAAATTTTGGAGTAATTAGTTATGCAGGCATGGATAAACAGTACAGCTGCCTACTCACAATGGTGAATAAATATCGAAGAAATGAATATAAAAATAACTTATTAGGCTGGGTGTAGTGGCACACACCTGTAGTCCCAGTGCCTTGGTAGGTTGAGGTGGGAGGATTATTTGAGCCCATGAGAGGAGGTTACAGTGAGTTGTGATTGCATCACTGCAGTCCAGCCTGGGTGACAGAGCGAGACCCTGTCTCTTAAAAGAGAAAAAGTCTTATTAATGTCAAAGTAAGGTTATGTAAGTGCAATTACTTTTTCGTTGTAAATTACTATGGGTATGACTTTGTTATATGATCATGTTATCTTTATCTGATAGCTTACCATAGTATGTACATACCACATATATACTTTGATTTTCCTTTTCCTTTTTTTTTTTTCTTTCAGTGTTTTGCTGTCACCCAGGCTGGAGTGCAGTGGCACAATCTCAGCTCACTGCAGCCTTGACCTCCTGAGCTCAAGCAGTCCTCCCACTTCAGCCTCCTGAGTAGCTGGGAACACAGGCAGGCACCACCATACCTGGCTAATTTTTGTATATTTTGTAGAGACAGGGTTTCGCCATGTTGCTTGGGCTGGCCTCCAACTTCTGGACTCAAGCGGTCTGCCCGCCTTGGCCTCCCAAAGTTCTGGGATTACATGCATGAGCCACTGTGCCCGGCCTTTTTCTTTTTAACGGTTTATGTTTTCTTAGTGTACTAATGTGAATTTCATTGACTTATTATTTTTCTAAAAACTTTATTTTAATATAAAATTACAGAAAGATTATAAGAAGAGTACAAAGAACTCGTATATCCTTTACCCAGTTCATATTTGTGCCATTTGTCATTTGTTTATCATTTCCCCCAATTGTCTTACTGTTTCCCCTTCTGTATATAGTGTTTCTATAGATGTAAATGTACACACACCCGTTCTTTTTTTTTTTTTTTTTAAAAAACAAGGTCTCATTCGTGCAGTGGTATGAACACAGATCACAGCAGCCTAGATTTCCTGGGCTCAAGTGATCCTCTTGTCTCAGTCCTTGAATAGCTGGGACCACAGGCATGCACCACCAGGCCCAGTGAGTCGTTGTTGTTGTTGTTTTTTGTCGATACAGGGTCTCACTATGTTGCCCAGCCTGGTCTGAAACTCCTGGCCTTAAGTGATCCTCCTGCCTCGGCCTCCCCCCCTTTTTTTGTATCTTAATCACTTGGTTAAGGTGATTTTCTGCCAGTCTTTTCCATTGTAAAGTTACCAATTTTCTTTTCATAATCAATAATTTGTTGGAAGATGCTTTGAGACTATAGTTTATTCTTTAACCCCTAAATTTTTCTGAGTGTATTACCTATAAATAATTTCCTGTACATTACTGTGATACAGTTATCAAAATCAGGAAATTAATCTGAAATAGATCCTGAGTCTTTTTGTTTTATTACATTGACTCTTTTTTTCTTTTTAAAATAGAGATGTGGGATTTCGCTATGTTGCCCAGGCTGAAGTGCAGTGGCTACTCACAGGCACAATCATAGAGCACTGCAGCCTCCAATGCCCTGGGTTCAGATGATCCTCTTGCCTCAGCCTCCCATGTAGCTGAGACTACAGGCATGCGCCACCATACCCGGCTAATTAAAAAAAAATTTTTTTTCAGAGATGGGGTTTTGCTCTTGTCCAGGCTGGTCTCAGACTCCTGGGCTTAAGCTATCCTTCTGCCTCAGCCTCCCAAGTTGCTGGGATTACAGGCCTGAGACACTGTGCCTGGCTAGCAAATCTGTTTCAGAATATAGTTGTCCCTCAGTATCTGGGGGGGGGGGCGCAAAATCCATGCATACCCAAGTTCTCCAGTTGCCTCTGTATAGGTGAAGTCTGCCTGCATGTATAAGAAGTCAGCCTTCATATAACTGGGTTTTGCATCCTGGGAATACTGTATTTTTGATCCTCATTTGGACTCGGGCAGTTCAAACCCATGTTGTTCAGGGTCAACTGTATTTCCATATAACTTAGCACACTTCCTCCTGAATACTTTAAGTCATCTCTAGGTTATTTATAATACGATTTAAATGGTATGTAAATAGTTGCTATGCTGTATTGCTTAGGGAGTAATGACAAAAAAAGTCTGTACATGTTTATATAGATGCAGTTTTTTTCCAGATATTTTCAGTCTGTGATTGTTTGAATCCACAGATGCAGAACCCATGGATATGGTGGGCCGATCATATATTAAAAAAAAAACAAAACATTTCCACCATAACTGCAACTACCCTGGCCCCTAACCCGGATTATCATCACAGCTTCCAAACCAGAGTCCTTCCCTGTTTGTCTTGTTAAAGACTGTTCTTAACACAGCAGCCAGAGTGATCCTTTAAAAAAGCAAATTGATCTTTTCACTCCTGTTCAAAACTCTCTTTTCCTCTTTTTGCTCAGAGTAAGATTCTTTAGAACGAGCGTTAAGGCCCTGCATCACATGACACACCTTCTCTGTAATCTCTTTACTTCTCCCCTTGCTCGTTCTCTTTCAGCCATAATTGATTGCCTCCTTACTGTTTTTCCAGAACATGCAAGGCATTTTGTTTCCTCTACCTACAACATTCTTCCCTCAGATACCTACATTGCTTACTCCTTACTTTTGTAAGACGTTGCTTAAATGCCTTTTTCTCTTAAGTTGTACCTTGCTGTCCTATTTGAAATTGAAATTCTTTTCACCTCTGGCACTCCTGACGTTTTTTCTCCTACTTTTTAAGAAGCACTTAAGACTTTAAGACATAATACATAATTTACTTTCTTTGATAATAATTTGTTTCTTTGTGCAAGATTGTAAGCTCCATTAAGGTAAGGGCAGGGATTTTCGTTTGTCCCCTAATCTTCCCCAGTGGTTAAAAGCCTGGCACATAGCTGGTGGCTCAGTAAATATTTATTGAATTTGCTGAATGAATAAATATTATTGCTTACACATTTATACATACTGAATTCAATATATATGGGTTATAGCTATATGGTAGGAACTGAATAAATATTCAAATGAATGGCATTTTGATTGGATGTCATGAATTATGAATTAGAAGGCTTTTTAGAGGAATTACTTGCAGTCATTAAAGAAAGTATTTCAATGTGCTGCCTTCAAAAAAAGTGTTGATATTTTGTTGCTAAGCTGTCCATATAAAATGAAGGCAGTCAGAATCATTTTATTGAAACTGTCCAAACAGAGTAGTTTTTAAACATTGCCACAGCTGCTCATTGAAATAATTTCCTCTACCTTTAACTATCTTTTTTATTCCCACTGCCCTAGAATCTCAACAGTGGCAGCCTTGGAATGGAAAATGTCACAAATGAACAATTTGGTAACTATTCTTTAGAGAATGTTTAGGGATAATCACACTCAGTAGATGAAAGGTGTTGATGGGGCCACAGTGTATGTGAGGGTATGATCTCAATTAAAAGGGTCAGTAGAGTTACCAGTAGCAAATGTCTTTGGGTTTAGATGTGTTTAGAGTTACAGGCGGCTATGGAAGGGTGAATGTTTAAATGTTTAAATGCTAAATGCTTAAAACAAAGCCCTTGGAGTTTCATGTAGTGCCGCACAATGAATCCGAACCTCCTATTGAATATTCTGTTTATTCCTTTATCTCTATAGTTCTTATTCAGTTTTTTTTTTCTTTGAGACGGAGTCTCGCGCTGTGGCCCAGGCTGGAGTGCAGTGGCATGATCCTGGCTCACTGCAGCCTCCACCTCCCTGGTTCAAGCAATTCCCCTGCCTCAGCTACTCAAGTAGCTGGGATTATGGGCACCTACCACCACACCCAGCTAATTTTTTGTATTTTTAGTAGAGACGAGGTTTCACCATGTTGGCCAGACTGATCTCAAACTCCTGACCTCAGGCAATCTACCCGCCTCGGCCTCCGAAAAGTGCTGGAATTACAGGAGTGAGCTACCACACCCGGCCTATTACTTTTTTTAAAAAAAGTTTTGAACGTCGATTATATATGAAACATTGTAGTAGGTTCTGTAGAGGGGTATATAAAGGTAAGTAATCAATAAGTGCATATAGTATAGTGAGACTCCATATAAATATCACTTTTATTTCTGTTTCTGGAAGAACTTAGGGCAGAACCAATGTGAGTTTTCTGTCCTGGGAAGTGTTCACACAGGGTCAACTAGACTATCTGCTGGAAAAAGGTCCGACTTGGGTATTTCAGTATTTAAGATTCTATTAATTAAAAAAAAAAAGGTCTAGGATTCTGGAAAATTATGAAATAGTTTTTTGATAGCCTCTTTTGTATAGTCATGTAGTGTCTTGATAGATTTAAACAAATATATTTTCTTGAATTTCATACGCATTTGGTTTATTTTCAGAATCATCTGTACATGTTACTTCATTGGCTTTACTTTAATGCTAAATAAAACCAATTCCTATCAAATTTGATGATGAAACACTTATTTGTGTTGTTTAATTACAGTATTTCTTTGCTTTGTTCGCCCCGTGAATTATGCATCAGCAGGCTAGAGCTTCAGTAATTGATACTTGAGCCAGTAAAGCTGATTGGTGTTTTGACTTAGCCAGAGAGCTGACAAGTCCACAGAGCAACCGCTGGACTTATGTAAATTTGCTGTGTGTTTCTAAGGAGACTGTCCTTAGAAACACACAGTGTTGTTTGCAACCAGCGTCTGCCCTGCCACTCCCCCATGTCTTCACATTTGGCTTATTCAGGCCTTACCTGTGGTACAGTCTTTTTTCTTTTGGTCGTCTGCATTCACTTGTCCAAGTTTTCCTTCCTTTTAAAAATGTCTCCATTCTGCTTGATTATCTTCCATTCTTCCCTTAAACCGTAATCTGTTATCATAGCAGTCAAACCTTATGTAAGTAAAATTGCTTTTGAGACACTTAGGATATGAATATTAAGTATAATTTTGATAAATACTTTTCATTTTATATTGAAGTAGTCTGTAATTAAATGCAGTGATTTCCGGAGAAAGAATTTATGTCTAGGAAAGAAAAGTTTTGTTTTGTTTTTTTAAAATAAAAGGAGTAAGTTTAACATTGCAGTGGCTCAAGCCTATAATTCCAACACTTTGGGAAGCCTAGGCAGGAGGATCACTTGAGCCCAGGAGTTTGAGACCACCCTGGGCAACAAAGTGAGACCCCATCCCTACAAAAAATAAAAATAAAAAATAGCTGGGCATAGTGGTGCTTGCCTCTAGTCCTAGCTACTCAGAAGACCAAGGCAGGAGGATTGCTTGAGCCCTGATTATGCCACTGTACTCCATCCTGGGTGATGGAGCAATACCCTGTCTCAAAAAAAGGTAATGTTTAAAGCAGGGCTTCCCTGGGCCACATTGGAAGAATTGTCTTATGCCACACATAAAATACACTAACACTGATGATAGCCGATGAGCTAACAACAAAAACACCAAAAAATCTCCTAATGTTTTAAGAAAGTTTATGAATTTGCGTTGGGAGGCACTCAAAGCCATCCTGTGCTGCATGTGGCCCTTGGGCTGCATGTTGGACAAGGTTGGTTTAAAGTAATAATACAGAACTAATAACTCTGTTTTTCTCATCTTTTACAATGTTTTACAAAGTAATGTGACTCTTGGGATTTAGGTTTTATAATATCAAAAAAACCTTTGTTTTCTGTAATTTGAAAATGAGTTCTTGGGAAAAAACTTGGCTAGAAAATTGTGGTTGTCAGAATTATTTTATGACTAATTTTCTTTTTTTTTTTTTTTTTTTTTTTTTTTTTTTTTTGAGACGGAGTCTCGCCGCTGTGTCACCCAGGCTGGAGTGCAGTGGCTGGATCTCAGCTCACTGCAAGCTCCGCCTCCCGGGTTCACGCCATTCTCCTGCCTCAGCCTCCCGAGTAGCTGGGACTACAGGCGCCCGCCACCTCGCCCGGCTAGTTTTTTTGTATTTTTTTAGTAGAGACGGGGTTTCACCGTGTCAGCCAGGATGGTCTCGATCTCCCGACCTCGTGATCCGCCCGTCTCGGCCTCCCAAAGTGCTGGGATTACAGGCTTGAGCCACCGCGCCCGGCCTGACTAATTTTCAAATGTAAGTTTCTTTTGTTCTCTTTGTCTTTTGTTTATCATATTCTGAAATTATTAGGGGGAGAAAGTTACCAGCTTTTAAAAGTGTCATAATTACTTGAGAAACGTCTTGTTTATTTTTTATAAAGAATGATAAAACATTTCCAGGAATGAAACTTTATGATCTTATTTATCTTTTTTATTTTTTATTTTGAGACAGGGTCTCCCTTTGTCACCCAGGCCAGAGTGCAGTGGCATGATCCTGGCTCACTGAACCTCGACCTCCTGACTCAATCGATCCTCTCACCTCAGCCCCCCAAGTAGCTGGGACTACAGGTGCGTGGTACCATGCCTGGCTAATTTTTTTGTGTTTTTGGTAGAGATGGGATCTCATTCTGTTGCCCAGGCTGGTCTTGAACTCCTGAGCTCAAGTGATCCCCCGACCTTGGCCTCCCAGCGTGCTGGGATTACAGGCATGAGCCACCCCGCCTGACATATATCTTATATTTTAATTGCTCTTGATGTGTAATAAGACAATAAAAATTGCTATTCCAACACTTCAGTTGATACTAGGGTTCCCTTTATGTGTTATTTTAGGCGTGTTTTATTCTTTTCAAAAAGCTCTTCCTATTATCATTGAAATAGAATTGAAGTAGAATTATCAAATGTAATTGTTTATTTTGAAGACTTTGCAACTTTCACCATATCCTTATAAATAGAGTTTATATTTTGAATGTGACAGTTAAGATGTTGCATTAATTTAAGAAATTCAAATTTGGCCAATACTTTGGGAGGCCAAGGTGGGTGGATCACCTGAGGTCAGGAGTTCGAGACCAGTCTGACCAACATGGCTAAACCCCGTCTCTACTAAAAATATAAAAATTGGCTGGGCGTGGTGGTGTGTGCCTGTAATCCCAGCTACTCGGGAGGCTGAGGCAGGAGAATCACTTGAACCCAGGAAGCAGAGGTTGCAGTGAACCCTGTAGCGCCACTGTACTCCATCCTGGGTGACAGAGCAAGACTCTGTCTCAAAAAAAAAAAAAGGAAGTACAAATTTAAATTAATTTTCTGGTTTTTCTATACTTGAATATTTGATCTCATTCTCAGACTACTGTTTTTCTTTACAGATGGAAGTCCAATGGTAATTCAAAGGTTAAGAATAGTTTTTTTTTTTCTTTTTTTGTCCAGGCACAGTGGTTTAGGCCTCTAATCCCAGCACTTTGGAAGGTTGAGGCGGGCAAATAGCTTGATCCCAGGAGACCAGCTTGAGCAACATGGTGAAACCCTGTCTCTACAAAAAAATACAAAAATTAGCTAGGCATGGTGGCATGCATATGTGGTCCCTGCTACTCAGGAGGCTGAGGTGGGAGGATCGCCTGAGCCTGGGAGATTGAGGTTGCAGTGTGCTGTGCACCGCACTTCAGCCTGGGTGACAGAGTGAGACCTTGTCTCAAAAAAAAAAAGTGTAAGAAATATTAAGCAAATTAATACTTTTGTTATATTTATTTAACCATGTGAAGAATTAGGCCAACTGTGATGTTTTAAGACAAGGTCCACGCAAGACTGCCCTTACATCTGACACCAGTTGTAAGTGTAGGGGATTCCCGAAGCTACCCACAGGTTCAATAATTTGCTAGAAAGACTCACGGAAGTCACTGAAAGCACTTATACTCCCAGCATGGTTTGCTACAGGGAAAGGACACAGATTAAAATCAAGCCTAGGGAAGAAATGCCTAAGGCAGGGTCCTGGAAAGTACCATCGTCCCGGCTCCATGGACACATTACTTCCCCAGCATCAGTGTGTGACAGTAGGCATGGAGTATTATCAACCAGGGAAACTCACTGGATCCTTGGTGTTTACAGTTTTTGTTGGAACATTATTATATAGGCCTAAATAATTTATTGTTCACGAGGCTGATTTCAGTCTAGTTTCCAGCCCCTTGAGGTGTGACCCAAAGCTCCTACCCTAAATCACATTATCCATCTTTCTGGCATGGCTATTCCTTACCCTATGACTGTCTGGTGACCCAGGGCCGCCAGGCAGAAACAAACAAACAAACAAACAAAAAACAGTCCTCAGGCGTGATATTTCAAGGACTTAGAGATTACCTCCAAGAAGGAAAGGGCAAAAGCCACACCTTTCTTTGGGCAAGATAAGTTTTTTACTACACAAACTGTGGGCCATATTAAAATGAGGCAGTCATTTGCTAATTTTAACAGTATTTGAAAGACTCCTGTAGAAATAAAAATGCTTCTTAGTCATCACTTGTAGTGCAGTAGTAACTTGAAGTTACCCTACATTTTGCTATAGGAATTT